GCCGTTCGCACCCGCACTGTTCTTGCGTCAACCCACCAGAGGCAGCTGTTGAACGATCATCTGTCCGACTGGCTGAATGATTGACTGGCCGACCGGCCAATCGGCTTACTCACCCACCTCTTTTCCTGAACCCAACCAATTTTACCGATTGACCCGCCTGCCCTTACTTCCCTTAACCCAACCAACAAAAAGCCATCCAGAAAAAAAAGCCTTGTCTGATTTTTAAGGTGTTTTCGGATTTTACCACATTCTCACCCTGTTATGAACTTGTTCATTTTATTTTTTGGATTCTGTTTTTGTCTTACCTGATTTCTGGAACCGCTCTTCCACGGACTTAAACCCGGATCGACGTCCTGGTTGTGGTATGCTCCTTTCTGCGTCTTAAGACTGCTGTTGTACATGACAAGCTAACTGGACAAACTGGTTGCAGCAGGAGAGCCCTCCACACGGAGGTAAGTGCTCAGCTAGTAAGCGCAAATAGGATTGGCGTCATACCACCCCGTAGCGTTCGCTTAAAAAATGAAATGCAGCCATACGTACCTCTGGCTACATAATTTGCTGTCTCCAGAAACGTCCACAGGACTATGTTTTCAGAATGGGCCTGGGTTGAAAAAAGCTCATCGAAAAAGTCTTTAAGACCAAGCCGAATCCTGGTGTGACTTCAGTTAATCAGTTTTGGCTAAAGCAAACAATTATTTTTCAAGAGTCCAACTTCTAGCTGTGCAAGAAAACATTTGACATAACCAAAGTCATCTTTCGTTACACTGTTATTATTAAAAATTATTATTATTATTATTATTATTATTATTATTATTATTATTATTCAATGGTGAAATTACTGACTGAGGAAGGTTTATTTTGCTGGCCAGTTTATTTACCTAATAAATGAAAATAGGTTACAGTTTTTAATACATTTTTTTTTTTAAATTACATTTAATGTAATACATTTGTATTTTAAAAATAAACAATTGTCATATTTCTTTTTTTTAAATCTTGGGCATTATTCTTGAAAAAAAAAGAACAATAAAAAGTGTAAAGCACCAAAAGTGGCCCATGTTGAAATAATTTGAATGCTATTTTGGCTATGGTTGTAATTCATGAATTTTTAAATGTACTTTTTTTTTTTTTTTTTTTTTTTTTTTTTTACAAGAGAGGCTAGAACAATGGTGGTGTAATAATAATAATAATATTCATTCATTCATTTTCTTTTTGGCTTAGTCCCATTATTAATCACGGGTCGCCACAGCGAAATGAACTGCCAACTTATCCAGCATATGTTTTACGCAGTGGATGCTCTTCCAGCTGCAACCCATCACTGGAAAATACCCACACACTCTCATTCACACACAGCTTAGCTTATTCATTTCACCTATACCATATGTCTTTGGACTGTGGGGGAAGCCAGAGCACCAGTAGGAAACCCTTAAGAACACGGGGAGAACATGCAAACTCCACATAGAAACGCCAACTGACCTTCTTGCTGTGAGGCGAACATGCTATACACTGCGGCACAGTGCAGCCAATGCTATAATATATACACGCAAACACAGGGAGAACATGCAAACTCCTATTTTTTTGTTCTTATTCAACAAATACTTAATGGTAATGTTATGATGTTAATGTTGTTATAAGATGAATTGTTCTGTATAACCCACTTACCTTTTCTGAATCCTGCTTCCTCCACATGATTTGAAGTCCATTATTCAGATGAGGCCATAGCGATCTGTCACAAGGTGCGATTGTGCTTTGAATTGCCACATTGTTTGTTTTACTGAAACCGCAATAATAGAGAAGTCTTTAAACTGCTCTCAGGGATTATTAAAAATGTGTTGTCATGTAGCAATTTGGGCTTCACAGTCCATGAAACTCATGAATAACTATATTAATATCACCTATATCGTTGCCTGTTCAGGCATAATATTGTATTAACAATGCAGGCTTTTACATATGGATCTGGCTAATCTTATTAGCAAGACAAAGCATCAGCCCTCCCATTTTACTACTTGTAATGGATATACCGCCACAGGCTCCTCATTAATGCCTGTTTGGATAACTTGCTGTGCTTTTTATGTATCTGCTAACTATCTTTATGTTGATGTCTTCATCTGCGTTGGGGACGTTGGCAGAATGAATGAGTTTCTGTAATTTCTTTTTCTTTGTCTTCTCATTTGCTTTCTGTTCTGTGGAGCTGAATGGCTTCTTTGTGTTGCTTTTGTCTTTGAGTGGGCTTTTTTTCCTCGGGATTTTAATAGTAAAGTGATGAATCAAATTGCTCCATAGTTTATGTATTCATGCGTGGAATTTTTTTTTATTCTCCGGAGGAAAATTAAGAGCATGTTGGACTCTGCATTGGTTTTTTTGTAAGACCAAATTCTCAGTAATTTCCTAAAATGCTTCAAAACTTGAACCCTTAAATTCATTAATGTTGTACCTGTCAGTATTACGTATTCTGGTCTTTAGTGACCCGGACATATATAACACAAATAAGCAATGGCATTGTAACTACCCAAGCTCATTTGAAAGTACTTTTACCATCTGTCTTTACACTCTTAACCATATTCTCACAACTTTTTTTTAATCATTATTTTGATTGCTGCTTGATCACCAGATAAACTGTTAAGTGACAGTGACAGATATATGTTCGCAGTAAAGCCATGCAAACTAATTTGCAAGCTATTCTTTTGATTTATGCTTGTGGGTATTATGAGTGAAACATCATGCCATCATTGTATGTCAGACATGTTCACAATGAAGAATAAAGTATTCTTATTGTGGATCTTACATTATTACATACTTTGGGTCACTGGTCACCATATACACTTTTTACACACATAAAAAAGATAAAAAGCAGACTTTACGTATATATTTTTTGTTATATTGTTTATAATTAATAGATGAATATGTTGAACGCTGACATTTTAAAAAAATGTATGAGGGTAATGCTGATGGATGGATAAGTAGGCTAAATTGATGGATGGATGAATGGATGGATGAATGGATGGATGGATGAATGGATGGATGAAATGTGTACATGAATGGCTGGATAGATGATAGGGTGGATGGAAGCATGAATAAATAGATGGGAGGATTAGGTAGGTGGATAAGTGGATGGCTCAATAGGTAGATGAATTGATGAATTGGATGAATGGATATACAGATGATAGATAAGTGGATGGATGTAGTGCATGGATAGATGGATGGGTGGGTAGATTGGGTAAATGAATGACTGGATAAATGATTGTTAGCTGGATTGATGGTTTGGTGGCAGGATGGATTGGATAGATGCATGACTGGATAGATGATGGGTACTGTAGGTGGATGAATGAATGGACTGGGTAGATGAATGACTGGATAGATGATAGGTAGCTGAATGAATGGATGGAAAAATTGGATGGAAGAATGGATAGATAGGTAGGGGATGGATGGATGGATGGATGGATGGATGTATGGATGGATGGATGGATGTATGGATGGATGGGTATGTGGATAGATTGGGTCGGTGGATTGGGTAGATGAATGACTGGATAGATGCTAGTTAGGTAGATGAAAGGATGGAAAATTGGATGAATAGATAGATAGATAGATAGATAGATAGATAGATAGATAGATAGATAGATAGATAGATAGATAGATAGATAGATAGATAGATAGATAGATAGATAGATAGATAGATAGATAGATAGATAGATAGATAGATAGATAGGTGGGTGGGTGCATGGGTGGGTGGGTGGATGGATGGGTGGGTGAATGAATGGATGGATGGATGAATGGATTGGGTAGATGAATGACTGAATAGATTAATCGTAGCTGGATCAATGGTCTGATGACTGGATGGATTGGGTAGATGAATGACGTGATAGCTGCTAGGTAGATGGATGAATGGATGGATGGATTAGGTAGTTGAATGGCTTGATATATATTAGGTAGCTGGATTGATGGTCTGATGGCTGGATGGATTGGATAGATGAATAACTGAATAGATAGATGATATGTAGGTGAATGAATGGATGAAAGGATTGGATAGATGAATGAATAGATAGGTGGATGGGTGGATGGATGGGTGGATAGATTGGGAAGATGAATGACTGGATAGATGCTAGGTAGGTGGATGAATGGATGGATTAGATAGATAGATAGATAGATAGATAGATAGATAGATAGATAGATAGATAGATAGATAGATAGATAGATAGATAGATAGATAGATAGATAGATAGATAGATAGATAGATAGATAGATAGATACGGACGGACGGACGGACGGACGGACGGACGGACGGACGGACGGACGGACGGATGGATGGAAATGTGGATAGATATGTAGGTGGATAGATAGATAGGTAGGTGGATAGATAGATAGGTTGGTGGATAGATAGGTAGGTAAATGGATTGATGGATTGGGTAGATGAATGACTGAATAGATGATAGGTTATTGGATTGATGTTCTGATGACTGGATTGATTGGGTAGATGAATGACTGGATATATGGTAGATACTGTAGATAAATGATTGGATAGACTGGGTAGATGAATGGATAGATAGGTAGGTGGATGGGAGGAGGGATGGATTGGTTCCAATGACTGGATAGATAATAGGTAGGGTGATGAATAGATGGAATGATTGGATGGATGAATAAATAGATATAATAGTTGGATGCATGGATGGATGGATTGGGTAGATGAATGGCTGAATAAATTATGAATAGTATAGATGGATGATAGGTTGGTAACTGAATAGTGACGAGGTTTCTCAGTTAGGTTTTATGGGTTCTACCAACTTAATTGGCCACAAACCTCAACTAACCAGCTGGAAACCAAGCTGAGCCACTACTGTATTTAAGTTTAAACAAGTTTAAATTTGGTCCATTCAGCTAATCATCTTGATTCATTATTGCAAGTTGTCTCAGGGCAACAATTGATGAAAATCTTTGAAATGCCTTTGTATTTTTAACAAACGTGGATTTGCAAACATGTAACAATCTTTCTTCTTGTGTGTTTGCAGGTGTTCAAACAAATGGGTGTTCCTCAGATCCGAAATCCCGATCTCCCGCCCCCAGACCAGATGCCTGAGATCTATCACTCTAAAATAGCTCTGATTGGCTGCGGCCCCGCCAGCATCAGCTGCGCCTCTTTCCTGGCTCGCTTGGGCTATGACAACATCAGCGTTTTTGAGAAGCAGAGGTTCATTGGAGGACTGAGGTCTGTAATTACTCTGACCTGTGGTTCATACTCAGAATTCTCATCCTGTATCTAAGATGGTCCACTAAAGGGCATTGTTGATCTGGCCAGCCACAATCAATATGGGGCACATTGTAGAAGGTCAGAATAATTAATGAATGGTCTCTGTAATTGGGAATATTCATCTCTCAAATGCCGAGTTGGAATGAGGTTATCAATTACACGCTGTTGCATCTCCAGCGTTGTTTAGTTTAACCAGCATGTCGATTGCATACAGGGGGCCTTGAATATCCAATGCAACTCAACTCCCAGCAGTCTCGAAGAGCAGAATCAAGACTCTGTGGTTTGTGTTGACATTTAGACTGGCACAACTGAAGCCTAAAGAATACCTATAACACAAGAACAAGTTCAAGGAATTGAATAGTCCTGAACATTGAGTTGAGTTGTTCGGTTTCCTATCCCTAACTATTTGTATATAGAAAAAATATACATTTTTATTGGTTTTCATTTCAAACTTAAAACTGCTGTAAATAAAACTGAAATAATTGTTTTTAATAATCATTACACTGCATGCCATTGCATAATATCCATTCATTTATTCATTTTCCTTCGGCTTTGTCCCTTATATTTATCACAGCAGAATGAACCGCCAACTATTCCGACATATGATTTACAAAGTGAATGCCCTTCCAGCTGCAACCCAGTACTGGAAAACACCCATACACTCTCGCTTTTACACAAGCACTCATACACTATGGCCAACTTATTCACCTAAACCGCATGAAAACCCACACCAAGCAAACTCCACACTGAAAGGTTGAGACTAGAACCAGCGACCGTCTTGCTGTGAGGCAAGGGTGCTAACCACTGAGAAACTGTGCTGTCTCCCGCATAATATCCAAGAAAGCTTAAATCTCAGCAGTCTCTGGACCAATAAGAAGAACTAGGTGTCTTCTTTACAGTGGTTTTTGTTTACAGGCATTCAGTGGCTGTATCCTTTTTTATTTTAAACTATTCCTGAGTACACTGCCGTACAATTTTGAGTATTACTGTTTGGTTGTGTGGTTTTGAAGTACAATTGAAATGATTAATTATGTAAGTATGTAAGTTTGACACCCAGGGGTTGAACTAGGTATTGCACTCCTGGTTCAAAACACTTGCAAGAGCAGGTTGCCAGATTGACGACACCAACAAAGGCTGATTTAAATTGTGTTCTAAATAAAAGTAATGGCATGCCATAGAAGGAATATTTCCCATATTAAAAGCAGTTTTTGTGCTTACCATTCAATCATTTATTTTCTTTTCGGCTTAAGGCTAATTTATACTTCTGCGTCAAGCGAACACATATGGTACGGCACAGCCTACGCGTTGACACATAGCCCTACGCTGTGTCCGTCGGTGTCGCTGACGTGCTCCTCTCAAAAAATGTAACTACACGTCGCAACGATGCATAGCGCAAGCTCTGTGATTGGTCTACTTGGTAGCGCTGACAAGTCTGGGCAGGACCGAGAGCCGCGCGAACGACGCGAGTCCGATGGAGCGATTGTTTACAACTGTGGAGTCCCGTGAAGGAGCTCCGGATGGAAAGTTTTGTTTTGTGTTTACCTTATTGTTGAAGTTGTTGCACGTTCGCTGGTTACTGCCTCAAAATGAGCGAGTTTAAGCCACTTGTACATTCAGGAAGTGTTCAGAAAAAAACAAAACACCGGCGAAGAAACTCGACACAGAGGAACAATAACACCTCACTGCCAACTAGCGTTTCGGAAGTATTAATGCAGACCAACAGAGACAGCGTTTAGAGGTACAAATGCACAGCTACGCACATTGCATGCGCAGTGGGTTACGCCGGTCACTTGACGCAGAAGTATAAACCAGGCTTTAGTCCCTTTATTAATTAGGGGTTGCCACAGCAGAATGAACCGCCAACTTATCCGCCATATATTTTTATGCAGCAGATGCCCTTCCAGCTGCAACCCATCTCTGGGAAACATCCAAACACACTCATTCACACTCGTACTCTACAGACAATTTTGCCAGCCCAATTCACCTGTACCGCATGTCTTTGTGCGGGAAATTGGAGCACCCGGAGGAAACCCACACAAACGTGGAGAGAACATACAAACTCCACACAGACACGGCAACTGACCCAGCCGAGGCTCAAACCAGCGACCTTCTTGCTGTGAGGCGACAGCACTACCTACTTCGCCACTGAGTTGCCTTGTGCTAACCAACACCTGAAATGTATAGTTTCGAAACAGTACTATTACTGCTGTTCTGTGCTTCTGAAAGGCTGAATTTAAATTTCTGTTGTGTTTGGTCTGATGCAAACAGCCAACTTGCTTATCACCGCAAATCTCATGAGGTAGCGTGTTGTTATGGGTTACAATGTAACCTGTTCACCAAATGTTTACGTTCATAATGTTTATATTATTTGCTAATTGATAACCACCTCATGTGGAACTCTGAATCTGTGTCTTATTTCGGACTCTGCTACTGTCCACCGGAGTTTGCATTTTCATTAGTGCATGCATGCTTTGAGAGCCTTCATGACTGAATGAATCACACCAAGGCATCCCGGAATGCTGAAATATTATTGGCTTAACTGGCATTGGGCGGATTAAATGACCAAAACAAACACAGACGTTCCAGCACGTAATGCACATTTTCAAAGCAGGATATCTGACTTCAGCATTGTTTTTCAGATAAACATGAATTTTCACTTAGCATGTTTCCTAAACATCTGCAAACATATTATGGTATTTTTATACTTTAGAAGAGTCAAAAACTTACACACAACACATTTAATTTATAGTGCACTTGTAAAGTTTACATTACTGCTAGCAGTTTTTACCAATTTCAACCAAAATTGACAGTAGTACTGTAATTTTACAGCAATTTTTTTTACTGTGTACTGCAGTGGTCTTAAACTTAATTCCTGGAGGGCCACAGCTCTGCATAGTTTAGCTCCAACCACCTCCAGCTCACACCTGCTTATTAGTTTAATCAAATGTATTTGGTTAGGATTGGAATCCAAACTGTGCAGAGCTGCGGCCCTCCAGGAATCAAGTTTGAGACCTATGTCCATATATGCCTATTGTATTCTGCATGTCTCATTTTTAGACACAAAGACACATTAAGTGTGAATAAGTAATTAGACTGGCACAATTGAAGGCTAAAGAACCTAACATAAGAATTGCAGAGATGAAGCAAGCCTTAGAATAAGGCAAAATATTTCCCATTCCTATCCCTAGCTTTTGAGTTGACATTTAGACTGCCACAATTGAAGACTGAAGAATACCTATAACATACAAAAAAGCAGCGACTGAATGATCCTTAGCATAGGGCAGAATTTCCCCCTTTCCTTTCCCTAACTTTTCATCTCCACAGGGACCCCTTATCTCCCTTCCCTTTCTTCTCATTTCATTTTTTCCCTCTCTTGATTTGCAGCTCTTCTGAGATCCCGCAATTCCGCCTGCCGTACGATGTGGTGCAGTTTGAGGTGGATTTGATGAAAGACCTTGGAGTGAAGGTAATGAAAGCCATCGCACCTCACCTCTCTATCCTACCCTGTGGTCCCCCTCCCCACCTGCCCCCTTTTGAAGCCGGGAAGGGGCGAGAGGTCTCAGGGAGGATCAGCAGTCCAAATGTCAGCCGCATTAATAAAGAACAATTAAAAGTTGCATTAGCGGTGGCAGACAGCAGCGCTTGGAGCACCTCGGGGCTGTGAGAGCTTGTCTGTTTGTTTCCTGAATGCTACAGCTACGGGAAAGGGCAATCAATAGTCGTCATCCGGCGCACCTGCTCAAGATTCATTTTACACAGGAAATGTTTTTTTTTTCTGCCATTCGTAAAGAGCTGAGGATGATGGGGAGGGGGTGAGATGACAGATTTGCATGTTCCCTCAGTACCTATAAACAGACACGGGGGGAAAAGCGGGAGTGAATGTGGGGATCTGGAGGAGGACAGACTCTTTTCCGAGTTTCTTTTGCGCTGACACAAGAAGGATTCCGAGACGCCCTCCTGTGAAACACAGTTTACAGCCTTTCAATCGAGCTTCTCCTTTGATTCTTTTCATCCTTTTTTGCTTTCTTTCACACTTTTTCTTTCTTCCTTCCTTTATTTTTTTTGCAGCTTTTCCCCATCTTTCTTCTCATGGGCACAACGCTAGCTTTGTTTGAAAGTGTTCTTTCTTTCCTTCCAATCTTTCCTTACTACTTACTTTCTGTCCTTTCTTACTCTGTGTAATTCCATGGCCCCTTCTTTCACTATTTCCTTACTTTTTGTTTGTTTACTATGGTGGCCGGGAAGTGCAAAACAACATTACAAAGTGTAAAACTCTTTTACAAAGCTCAAGACAAGTATATATTTAGATTTTTTTTTTACCAATCATAAGACACAATTACCTAGGAAAATCAATTTTACCAAGGACAAAACAAATTTACATTTTGGAAAAAATTAACAAGACACAAAACACCTTTACCAATCCCTAAAAAATTTACAATGACATGTACTTTACGGAATGTATCTCACACCGGACGTGACGCAAGGAATAGTTGACGATGGTGGTATGTGCGATAAATTCGTGTTGTGTAGTACATGGCATAAATAAAGTTTCAAGAGTTCACACTTAGATAATGCTTGACTTTTTTTTTAGCAAGTTTGGCATGCTGTCCTGGGAGAGAACCTTGAGCTCGGAGATAGATGAGCCCAAGGTTCCCGCCTGGTTAATAAGCATTAGGAGGGATACAAGATCAGGTAGTTCTTGAAAACTTCCCAAGAATAGTCCGCCAACTGTGCAAGTGTATATTTAATAGGTGACTTTGACTTGTGTTACATGTCTTTAGACTGTGGGAGGAAACCGAAGTACCTGGGGAAAACCCACGCAAACACGAGGAGAACATGCCAACTCCGCACAGAGAGTGTCGACTGGCTCAACTAGTGTTTAAACCAATGACCTTCTTGCTGTGGTGCAACAGTGCTAGCCACTGAGCCACCGTGTCGCTCAATCTTAGAATTGAGGAGGAGGGAGAAGGGATAGATGGGGGGTCGTCCAAAACGAAGATGAGGAATGAAGTTTAGGCTGGATATTTATGTTAAATTTGTAATGATTCGATTGGCTAGTTAGTGTTTAGTGATAAGGATCAGCTGTTGTCAATCCTATCACATGCTCCTCTCAAAATTAGTTTGTGAAACTTCCGTTATGGTGACCGAACATGGACTGCGGTAGTTGTTTTGCCCGTTTTGTGGCAAACAGATGAGCAGCTTACACGGTTTTGCTTTTTATGTGTGGTTGGTATTTGGAGTTTTTAAAGGACGCGGATGAGACGGAAACACCAGACACACTGCATCAATGTGTTCAATATTTTAACGAGGCCCACTCGTCTGCTGTAATTGTGGACATGATGTCAAGTCTACATGGTGTAAACATCTGCTTGAGGACTCTTAAAAGTAAACTGAATGAAGCCGGTGTTACGGTTTAACTGGTGTCCGTGTTAACTGGTGCCCCTTTCTTGATGTAAACTATTCATGTTTGCAGATTTGGCACTTTTTCACAGCAACAAAACATGCCCATACCACATAAATATTCTTATTACTTGGTGTCAGTTTTATTGTAAACATTATTGATTTTAATATTTGTTTGGCAGAACAGTACATAACCAAAATTAATGTAAATAAAAGATTATGATTTTAAAAAATTAACAAGACACAAAACACATTTACCTGTCGCGAACTTTACAATGACAGGTTCTTTACGGAAAGGGAATGCACCACAAACCAGAAGTGACCCGGAATGTACCACACACCAGAAAATATCAGCTCATGTGATGTCATCACATGATGTTATATGATTTCACATGACATTACATGATGTTACATGTCATCAACGGGATTCGAACCCAAGTTAAAAAGTTTAGCACGAGAATCAAGAGACCTATCCATCTGAACTATTCAGGACTACACGTTGAGATCGGTTTTGATATTTTTATCAGTCAACATATGTTGTGCTTTGGTTGTGGAGTCATGTTAACTTGTTTCCATATACTTACATTTACGAGTTCACACTTGCAGTTGTTTAAGTATAAGGCATATTTGGCGTGCCGTCTGGGTGGAGGGCTCTGAGCTCGGGGAAACATGCCATCTCGAGTTATTCCCCTTATCAGGAAACAAAGAGGAGTTGGGATTCGAGCGAAGTATCTAGCCTGGCCCCAGAACGCTCCCCCCAGGAATGTAATGCTTAAGAGGTGAGGTGTCAGGGTGGTGGAGGGATGCTAAAGTTGTGAGATGCTGCAGGTTAGACAGCTTTGGTATATATATAGGGATTTGTTCAAGAATTTATTTGATAATAGAATAATTGTCAATGACGTATTCGATACTGAAACTTCTGCACATGCTCCTCTCGAAATTTGTTTACAAAACATCACTTTACATGTTTCTACATACTGTACTCTCAGGCTGATATTTTCTCAGAAAAGCTCTAAAAGACGAAACAATGTTTTATCGTAGTCAGCATAAGTTTATCTTTTATCCATCCTTCCTTTTCTCTGCCGTTCCTTCCTTCCCTCCTATTTCTTCTTTTCTACCCTTTTCTGTTTTTTATTTTCATCTCCTTTATTTAAGTTAATTTTCTTTCCTTTCTTTGTCTTCCTGAAACCTCAACAAGGCACTATTTTACATGCCTTCAAATGAGCTTCTTTCTTTTTTTTTTTGTTCATGTTTATTTTCTTTCCTCTTTCTTTTTGGTTTCTAGTTTTTTAACAGACCGAGACCCTTTTTCCGTTGCCACAAGATGAATTCAGAGAAGCCCTCCTGCGATCTCCTGCAGACCCTGTTTTGCATGCCTTCAGAAGAGCTTTTGGTCTTTTATAGAGCATTTCTGTGGTCTTGCTTCAGTGGTCTTGCATTGATATGGCTTGTTTGATCTCTATTTCAGATTGTCTGTGACCGAGGACTCGGCCAAGACGGAATGACGCTCCTCTCGCTGAAAGAGGAGGGCTATAAAGCTGTGTTCATCGGAATCGGTCAGTTTAAACGCATTTTCACACATTGTCTTGTTGTCCATTATGTGGACAGACAAGCATGTACACAGAAAAGATGGAGAAAGCCTATTTTTCTGGGAATCACTGGCGACTCCCTGTCCGTGTTAATGGCTGTGGATGATCCACTTGACAATTTCTCCCCCTCTACCAGTAACCCTATTCACATCTCATTTTCCGCCCCAGTCTTTGAGCTGCTGCTGTTTCTTAAGCTAACAGTGCATGGTTGGGCTGCCTACTGCTTCTCAATGGTGGACATCATGGTTTCTCATCAGATGCCCCTGGCCTGTTCTTCTCCAGCTGAGACATTTCCTTTGCTTTGCTTTCCTTTTTATTTTCATCCTTCATTCCCATTACTTCCATTATGTTTCCCTTTCCTTTTGTTTTTCTTTACTTTTCTTTCCAAAATGGTTGTAGAATCAGCTTTGTAACAATACTAAAGATGAGGTGAGACACCAAACTGCCAGTCTCTGCAGCAATGGCTGCCCACTGCTCTGTGTGTGTGTGTGTGTGTGTGTGTGTGTGTGTGTGTGTGTGTGTGTGTGTGTGTGTGTGTGTGTGTGTGTGTGTGTGTGTGTGTGTGTGTGTGTGTGTGTGTGTGTGTGTGTGTGTGTGTGTGTGTGTGATTTTGGATTGAAGAGCACAAACAATTCCATGTATGGTTCACTATACTTAGACACATGACTTTCCTTTCTGTTTCTTTCCATTCCCTTTTCTTTTCATTTACCTTATTTCCTTCCTCTTTTTTCATCTTTTCTTTTGTTTCTGTCTCCTTTACTTTCTTTTCATGTTCATCCTCCAATTCCTATTTCCTTTCATTCCTTTCATGTCCTTAATTTACCTATCTATTTACCTTATTACCTTCCTCTTTTTTGTTTCAGTGCTCTTTTCTTCCTCTTTATTTTCTCTTCCCTTCCTTTTCCTCTTCCCTGCCCTTCCTTTCATTTCCTTTTCCTCTTGCCTCCCTTTCCTTATTTCCTTCCTCTTTCCTTCCTCTTTCTTTTTACTTCCCTTCCCTTACTTCCCTTCCATTTCCTTTCCTTTCCTATCCTATCCTATTCTATCCTATCCTATCATTTCTTTCCATTTGATTTGATTTGATTTCCTTTGATTTCCTTCATTTTACATCTCCATTTACCTTATTTCTTTCCTCTTTCTTTTCCCTTTCCCTTCCCCTCCCTTCATTTCCTTTTTTCATTTCCTTCATTTTACCTTTACATTTACTTTATTTCCATCCTATTTCCTTCCTCTTTCTTTTCTCCTTCCTTTCCTTTCATTTAATTTCCTTTACCTTAATTCCTGCCTCTTGTGTTTTTTCCTCCTTCCTTTCCTTTTCTTTTCTTTGCCTGTTCATTTTACCTTTACTATATCCTAATTTCTTTCCTCTTTTCATTTATTTTCTTTTCCTTTCCTTTTTCTTTTCTTTTTTTAATTTGTTTTTAAATTGGTTAATTTACTTTCCTACTTTATACTGTTCATCCTTTTAACTGTTTTTCTTTTGAATTGCCTCTCACTTCCTTACTTCTTCATTTTTATGCTCATCATTTCCTCTGCTTCCTTCATTTTCCTTCTCTTTTGTACTTTATCTTCTTTCTATGCTTTTTAGTTTTTATTTGTTGTCACTTCCTCTTCTTTTTCTGCTCTTTTCATCTTTTATAATCTCCCATTTGTTCTTGGTTTAAACATTGACTTCCTCCATTCCTCATTTCTTTCAACCTTTCCTACTCCTTTTTTAACTTTAATCTTTATTTTCTTCCCTTCATCATTTTCTTCAATTTTCACACTGTTTGTGCTCCTCTTTTCTTCCTTTCACTTCTCACTCTAAGTTTTCCTTTCTCTCTCAGTATTTACTGACTGTTTCCAGTAGCAGAGGATTATATAAGATGTGACCTTTTGCCATTAGAATCAAATAATGATTATCATATTGGCACTGGCAGTGAGAAGCTTTACTTTTTATTTTCAAACTGTGTGGCCGTATGTGGTCTCATCATTATTATTTTTTCTTTCCTTTTATTTCTTTCCTTTTTTTCCTCTGTAACACCATGAAACAAATAAATGTGGTCTTGAAGATCTTATCTTCCGGCTATATACATTCTCCCTTATTGCTCATTAAAATTAATCAAATGAGCTCTTTACATTATAAAGCATTCCTAATTATGACTCCCAACCTAAGAAAACTTTCATCTGCAGAGTTAATCTTATTACTAAACTAATGCAACTTTATATAGAAAGAAATTAAACTGTGATTATGTGGCCCCTACACTGATCTTAAGCATTCAAACATTGCCTAAAGCCGGCCACGTGACTGGTCTTATTGTACCAGCACAATGAGAAAAAGAATTAGTATAATTCGTTGTTTCAAAACGCTGAGTCTCTCAATACTGGCATCCTAATTATGAGTCTTTTACATGGAGCATTTTTTGAATTTCTCTACAAAAGGATGTAAAGAAATTCCAACTGTGGAAGAAAATGAAAGCGCTGAGTGTTTGCAATTAATTTCTGTAATTTCACACGAGTCCTTTACGGTCTTTTTAAATGTCATCCACTCACATGATTGACATGCTAATTTCTCCCTGGCAATATGCAAAAATATGCAAAGTGGAAGCCAGGTTGAGGAAGTCAGATAAGAGCATTGTTTCTAGGCTATAGGCTCAGGCGTCAGTAGCTTGGGTTCAATGGCTTTAAAGAGTGAATTAACACTTTGACTGCCATGGAGTAATGAAGCCTGCGATCTTTGTGGCTTATTTTCTGGATGTCCCTTTTGATTTCATAATGACAAGAAGAATGTAGTGCTGTGCGGCACACATAAAACAGTTATAATGCACCTATAGGGCCCTAAAAGCAGTTGGAACCAACCTCAAAATGTTAGTCAAAGTTGGAATACGTGTTATTAAAAGGCGTAGCGATCAATGCATGCAAGGACATGATTAAAAGATGTGCGCTCAGTACCGAGATGAGATGTTTCTGGAGAATGCTTGAAGTTTTTAAAAGCTCCACAATCAATATTTGCTATGAGTTGGCGGCAGTGATTGTTGGACGATAGTCAATATGAGGTTATAACATTACACTGTACAAACGACCCATCAATTGTGCATGTTTCCAAAATACCACCCAAGAAGCTTTCACTTTTTAAATCGTTAAACACTTTTGACATTAAAGGGGACCTATTATGCAAAAATCACTTTTATAAATTGTTTAAACACAGTTGTGTGGCAACAATGTGTGAATATAGCTTGCCTTTAATGGTAAAAAATAATGAATTACATTTTTTTATAATCACACTTTATAAAAACATTCTGCAAAAACACTTTGATTGACATTCTCCCTTTGTACGTGTCATTGGAGGTTGAAAGCCCCACCCATTGGTGATGATCTTTCGCTCATTAGCATAGACAACCCTAAGTGAGAAGCAGGTGTCCATCATTACAAACTGAATCTGCCACTATGCAGACACATACATATTTATAGCTCCACGCTCTTTTGAAAGGAGGGCTGGGAGCTCAATCTCATTAGAATTTAAAGCGACAGTCACCAAAATGGCACAATTTGGATCAAAGCCTAAAGGGGCAGTTTCAAAGAGTTATAAAAAATTATTTGCCTTGTACTTTGAGCTGAAAATTTGCATACTCTAGAGACATCAGAGACTTGTTTTACATCTTATTAAAACTAGCATAAAAGGTCCCCTTTATATATGTGCTGTTTCATTGGAAATGTGTTGTTCTTTTAAAATGTTTGGATGTTTTGCTGACGACGAAGGTAATTAAGACCTTTGCACAGGGGCAGACTTAACCAACAAGCGAGGTAAGGGGGACCTCACCAATGCCAAGAAGTGTATATTATTCATATAGCTCTTTTATAGGTTTTCTAGCAAGCTGTAAAATCAGTTTAAAACCGTTAAGATTTTAACATCATTACTTCTTTTCAAAACATTGGGCCTCCATTAATAATGTAAAGTTCTGTCTGTGTGTACTGCACATGCGCAAGGTGTGCGCACGTCGGCGGGACCGCTCTTATCAAAGACACTGGCAGCCAGTATTGCCAACTTTTCAGACTCTCCTGACACCAATTTTTTTTTCAAAAAAAATGAATAGCGAATGTTTTAGGTGTTACTGGGGATTTTTAGATACTCTTATGTGTCTGTGTTTTAGCACCACAAGCGTGAGGTATTTCCCTGATACAGCCAAACAGATCTGCCTCTCCTTTGCTTTACATTTAATATTTAAATGCATCTGTTATTATTTTCTTGAATTAAATNNNTAAATTANGNTNNTTAAANTANTANTANTANTANTNNATATANTANTNNATATANTANTANTANTNNATATATATATATAATAAATTATTAAATTAATAAATATAAAACAAAAATATGCGATAATATATATAGTACATTCAAGAAAGCTCTAACTTAGTCCTGGAGGGCCAGTGTTCTGCAAAGTTTAGATCGGCCCCAATTAGGCACACCTAGGCTAGCTTATCAAGCTCTTAGGCTTTCTAGAAAAATCTGTGCTGTTGTGTTAAGGTAAGCTAGAGCTAAAATCTGCAGGACTGAGATAGGACACCACTGCTATATATAGTTTGTGAACTTATTGCTAGCTATGGTTGAAGACAGAATTATTAGCCCCCCTGTTTACGTTTTTTTTGACACATTTCTAAACAATAATTTTAATAACTGATTTATTTTATCTTTGCCATGATCACAGTGAATAATATTTGAATAGATATTTTTCAAGACTCTATACAGCCTAAAGTGACTTTTAAAGGCTCAACTGGGTTAAATAGGTTAACTTTGGTTATGGTAATTAGGCAAGTTGTTTTATAACGATAGTTTGTTCTGTAGACTATCGAAGAAAATATATATAGCTTAAAGGCGCAAATAATTTTAACCTTAAAATGTTTTTTAAAAAATTAAAAACTGCTTTTATTCTAGCCGAAATAAAACAAAAAAGACTTTCTCCAGAAG